ATATATTTGGCCAAATTGAATTACAATATCTTTATGATTTATCAGATTTATAATTGTATGACTGGTCAAAAACTTTGGAATAGTCAATTAACAGAGATCTCTTGAGATTAGAATCAGAAGGAATAAAAGCGCTTTTACACCTGTAAATAAAAAAAGAGCATTTTGAAGTTGTCCCCCCTTTTTTAAATTTTTTACCATAAATCTATGATTATTATTAACCCTGGGTATCTTCCCCTCTGTCAACCGCATGTTGTAGGGTAGCTTGTAATGGCGACAGAGACCAAGAATTGACAAAGGTCTGGGACCTGGGGGATGTTTGATCATGGCTATAAGAGGGTCAGTTTTTTTTTTATTATTAATCTTGGACCTGTAACCGGCGGGGGATCAAGACCAGCAATTATGTTAGGAACTATGCCTCCCTCGCCCTGAGTTTTTTGGCCTTCCTCTTCCACCTTTAAGCCTGTCTGCCACCGCTGACAAAGAAACTTCAATGTTTTTTTCAACCTAGTAATCTTTTCAGTCACGTCCTCATTATTATACCTAGCAGCCTCCTCTTCCAAATCATCAGCATCTCCTGGGTCTACGGGACCCTCATCTGGAAAAAGGCCTTTATTTAGTGCAGGCTCTGCATCAGCACAAGCCGACGGGGCAGATGGCTTAGTTTTACTTTATGTGGGAGGCGAAGGGACAGCCTCAGGAGCATCAGCCTTGTTAGACTCCTGCAGGGAAGGACTTGAGGAGGGCCCTTTAACCCTCTTCCTCTAATGCTGAGCGTCCAAACTATCTCTAATTAAAGCCCATAAACTAAAAGTATCTATAGGGACTTTACTGGGTCCATGACCGTCGTAACAGTCCTGAAGTTTCTTTCCCATCTTATTCCATATTTCTAAATCTATTGTTCCTTCTTCAGGGAACCAAGGACAAACCTTTTTTACAAATTATAAAAAATTCTTACTACTAACTTGTCCCATTTCTGCTAACTCCCCCAAATCGCCCACGGTAAACTTACTTTCCCTCTATTTCCCGGGCACCGCGCGGCGTCCTTCACGTTCTCCCCGATATTCAGGTCCCTGTTCGGGTGCCAGTCTGCCGCGGTCCTGCCGAGGCAAACTGTAGAAAACTTGAAACGGGGCGCAGGGATTGAAAAGAGACGAGAGGGCTCCCAGTTAAGACCGAGCAACTTTATTGACTTTACTGTTCTCTTTTATAGTACTCAAGAATAGAAAACATCTTACATAAGGCACATCTGGAAATTCCCCAGGCCTTGGGACAGTCCCGTGTTTTCTTTTCCCTAGCTCCGTGTCCTTGTGCTGTTCTTATCATTTTCTCCTACGCCCAGCTTCTTCAGAGCTGGGCAGCAAGCTCTACAATATTTCACTTAACCCTTTCGTAGGAAATCCAAGTTGTCCATCTTAATACTTATAGAGCTGTTGGCTCTCCACAATAACCCTTTCTTGAAAATCATTTGGTGTGGGCACAGGATAAAGTGTTAGTAATTTATTTCATTGCCTGGGTGATTTTTGTATCTATTACGCCATTGTAGAGCTTCAGGAAAAGTAATTTTATCTTTTCTTGACTATTTCATTGACTTAGACAGGTAATGATTCCTATACTAAAGAACTCAATCCGGATTGCAGAGTCATGGCATTATTCATCAGAGTGATTTGGAATTATTGATGTTCTTATTCCTACACTTTTCCCTTGATCATATGCTTAACTTTTCTACATTGTTTTTGATTCTCTTGATTTCAGATCCTCATCCTTCAGGGTCTTAAACAAGAAGTCACTTACTTGTGCCCCTCCCCAGATGGACTACACTTAGCTGTTGGTTATGAGGATGGCTCTGTCCGAATCTTCAGTCTGCTGAGTGGGGAAGGAAGTGTGACCTTCAATGGCCACAAAGCGGCTATCACTACCTTGAAGTATGATCAGCTGGGAGGCAGACTGGCTTCAGGCTCCAAGGTGAGACTTTGAGACAGGTGTCCAGACTTTGGTACATTAAAGAAGCCTTAAGGCTTAGGCTGGAGCAGGTTGTTCACAAAAATTGCCGGGTGAAACTAATAGCTCTCTGTGTTCAAAACAGTATGTCGATGGTAAAGAATATGAGGTGGGTGAGACTGAATTGAGAGGTTTATTTTGTTTCCTGTTATATTTTCTGATAAAAGCATATGAAATATAGGAATAAGACAAAGACACATATGGTAACTACTATAGGACATCATTGTGGAAGTGCTACCCAAAACTAAAACAAGAGAAAGAAAACAAAGACTGAAAATAAGAGAATATGATAGTTTTTTTTCCAATGACTTCCTGTATCTCAAAAATTATGTGTCAGGCTGGGGATTTAGCTCAGTGGTTCTACCACCTGCCTTGCAAGCAAGCACAAGGTCCCAAGTTCAATCCCCGGTACCAAAAAAAAATTATGTGTTAGAAGATGAAGCATAAAAGATTCCATTCACAATAAAATATTAAGTAACATAAAATACCATGAAACTACTGAAGAATGTAATAAAATACTTCTATAGAGATACAATTCATGTTTTGGAATGGGAAGACTATCGAAAAATACTAGCATTTTTTAGTTTGCATAGCTTAAGCAATTTAAATATTTCAAGGGTTATGTTATTTAGAACTTAATCAAATGCTTTTAAAGCATCTATGGAAAAACAGATGAATTGGAAAGACCGAATTTGGGTAAAGAAGAATAGTAACAGGTATTAAAATGCATTATAAAGCCATAATTTAACAATAATTATATTGATATAGTTAGTACCAGTGTAATGTAGTACATTATTACAACCGAATGGAAATCTGAGAAACACATACACTTTTATATAGCTAATTAGCATATTTTGAAGATGGTATTTCTGATGTTTATAAAAATGGTGGATTATTTATAAAACAGTACTTAGAAAATTAGCCATTTAAGGCAGAATTTTCAATTAAAGTTTTATCTAATTCCATATGTCAAAATGAGTTTCAGATTAGAGACTTAAATATGCAAAAGTCATAATTTAAATGCTAAAGAAAATTATCTTCTGTATATTTCATTCCTTTAGGATACAGATGTTATTGTGTGGGATGTGATCAATGAAAGTGGCCTCTACCGTTTAAAGGGACACAAGGATGCCGTTACACAAGCATTGTTTCTTCGAGAAAAGAATCTACTAATAACTAGGTAAAAAAAAAATCAGAGTTTAATTTCCTTGTTTTTTTCAAGGCAGATTCATAGGAGAGGACTTGAAAGAGAGAATTTGTTTCATTCTTTACCCATTTCTCCATTCTGTTCTAATGCTTAGTGCTAGCTTCCTCTGCTGCTCCCCTAACCCCTCTCTCATGACTCCTGTCTTAGTTACTTTTCTCGTTGCAGAGACAAAATAGCCGACATCCAAAGTGAAAAGAGAAAAGGTTTATTTAGCTCACAGTTTATAGAGGTTTCAGTCTATAGACGGCTGGCTACAAGACAGGGTGGCACATGGCAGAGGGATGTCATGGAGGGTGGCAGCAGAAGCAGCATCAGCTTGCCCCTGCCTTTTATCCCTTCAGGGCTACCTGCCCTGTGGGTGGTTCCATCCTACCCAGGGTGGGCTTTCCAGTTATCCATACCCAAAACCATGCCACACCAATCAGTGCACTAATGTAGTAATCATACACCCTTAATCCCAGCATCACACACCCTAGATCCAGCCACCTCCGAAAAGCCCGACCTATGATTGATTGCGTGAGGCTTTGGGGCTGCATCTAGACACAAGGCATGGCACCTCCCCTTCCACAAAGCACCATAAAGCTGTCTGGAAGTAGGTACAGCAGTTTGAAGATCCCTTTTCTCTTTTGGTATTCATTTCTTCTGTTATTAACTTTTCTACATTCCTTAAACTTTAACATTTTAATATTATTGAGGGTCTACCTGCTATATTCCCACAAATTCAAGAAAACAGAAGATGGAGGAATGGACAGACATGAATATCGGGTGTTTGATTTAGCCTGTCTTTTGAGCAGAGATGTACTCAGTAGGCTTTCTGAACAACTATAACGTTTACTCATTTGCAATTACTATTTTTGTAAATCAAAAATGGTCAAATATCAACAAACTCATATTGTTTACCTAATATAATAATTATTATTTCCAAGGAGTAGTCACCTAGGAAAGGCTGCAGTCCTAAGGTTTGTCAGGCAATAATTAGAAGAATCATAGTAATGATTCATAAAAAGTTACAATGGAAGCCCAAATGCTGCCCCAGTGATAGATTTGTTCCCGCGAGGTAGGGTGTAGGTACATTTGTGTTAGTTTTTCATATAACATGGATGTTGTGAGGAATGATTCTAGAGTTCTAATAGAAAATGTGTATGATATAGCTTAGAAAATGTAAAGAAAAATTAAAAACACTGTGGGGGGGGTTATGGGATGAACTTTGTAACTCAAATTTTTCAGTGGACAGTTTTTGTCCACTTTGGTCATGCAGTCTGATTATTAGATTTATACTAGTCAAGATATGGGGAAGAGGCATCTGAACAAGAAGAGTAGAGCCAATTGATAGGGCAGGATTGCACTAGGGAGTTAAGCATTGATTAATACATTTGAGAATGATGGTAAAGAGCCTGATTTTGATTCTGTAGAGAGCACTGAGCTGCTATAAATTTTAAAAATTGATATTATCTGGTAACAGTGTATTTAATAGGATGAGAGACCAATAATGAACAAGCAAACCAGTTGAGAAGCTATTAAAATAGTGCAAATAGTAAGCCTAAGGTTCAAGTTCGTGTACTAAAATGGAGTAGAAGGAGTCAAAATGTAAAGACTTCACCCAGCAGACATTTTTTGACATGGAGACTAACTGGACACAGGAGACAAGGAAACAAGAGAGCTCTAGGATGGTTCCATGGTAGACAATATGACGCAAATGATGGGTGGAGGCATGATGGATCAAGTTCCGTGTTAGTACTCAGGGGGCCAGGGATATAGCTAGCGCAAGGTCCTGAGTTCGATCCCCAGTACTGGAAAAAAAAATATTTAGTACTCAGAATTCAAGGCATTTTTGTGCTTGCAGGTAAAGCATCTTATTTTCTGCACAAGAATAATCCCCAGGACAGTTAGGATTCTTTGCTTTCAGGAGGAAGGTCAGGTACAACAGTAGCTTTAGACATTATTGCTGTATAGTGTATCATCTTTCTAAAACAACAAATGAGTTTTTGATTTCCCTGTTAATGTTTCTTCATATATAAGTTTTTATCTCTGTTTCTCCTTTTAGTGGAAAAGATACGATGGTGAAGTGGTGGGACCTTGATACCCAGCACTGTTTCAAAACAATGGTTGGGCACCGAACTGAGGTATGTGTAGGGTCATGGGCCTGGGGAGAGAACAGCAAAGCAAAGACATTTTTCTTTTCTGGCCCTTTCGGGGCTTTGTTTTCACTGCTTATAATCATCATGTTCTGTCTTGAAAAAACAATGAGATTTGTTCAGTTAAAGCAGTGCCAGACATGATAGCATTTAATAAAAATTGGCCCTGGATAGTTTTTAGACTATGAGATTCCTAGTTTTTAAATTGTAGAGGGATTTAATAATACTGTGTGTATAGTGCCTGTAACCATGACACATAAACAGCATATTGTAGCTGTTCTGGTTGGCTGAATGTAGATCTATTGTCAAGTTCATGGAGTAGTTTACATGTCTTTGTATCCTCCTCAGTACTTTGTTTATATCAGGCTTTCAAAAATATACTGTCTGGAGAGAAGGAAGAAGAAAAGCATATTAGATCCTTTGGCTGTTTATTTACAACAGTATTATTATTTTCACTATGGAAATATTAGAGGCTGAAAAAGCATGCAATAGATGTTAATGGGGCACTTCTTTTTTTGCTAGGCATTGCTGAAAGCAAAAAGTATGAGACCTAGAATTTCATTTGCGTGGGTTGTAGGTAGGATTTATGCTCAACAGCCATTATCTAAATTGGGCAATAAGAAGTTACTGAGTAACTCCTAGTATCACTAAGCAATGATTCCATTACAAGCCAGTTTTGACTCTCTGTAAAAGTGATGTTTCTCTTAGTATACTTTTGAAAGGCCTGGCTTTATGTACCTTTTCTTAGACTTTGAAATTTCAAAGAGATTTTGCTACAGTATATTTAGCCTTTCGGATTATCACATTAGGCAATCTGGAATCTCTTAAAAATTGCATCATCTTTTCCTATTCTGTAGGTATGGGGGCTGGTTCTGGTGTCGGAAGAAAAGCGACTCCTCACTGGGGCTTCAGACAGTGAGCTGAGAGCCTGGGACATAGACTACCTGCAAGAGGTAATTCTTTTGGATCTTGGGCAGGGTCACATTTTAGCAGTTCCATTGACTCACTGAATTTAGAATCAGATGTACTTATTCAATGCTTCACATAGTACTAGAAGAAATTCTGTCACAT